TTTCTTGTACATTTTAAGTTCCAACCCCTTAGATCTTCCTTTCTCCAACCTTCTACATGGCTGACCGGAGGAAAATTTCTACTAGAAGAAGATAACGCCCATCTACCTCTACTGATCCAATACCTCAAGCAAATAATTTGAGCGGGTGGATTTCGGATGAGGAGAAACACCATGAGTTTACATCATTTTGGAAGGAAATGAAGCTTATTTCAACAAAGTTTATTGATCTAAATTGGTTTCATGTCTTTGGATTCCAGTTCCTACCTCTTCTCTTTCATCAGGGTATTCAATCTCTACTAGAAATGGGTAGACATTATTTTGGATGATGATATTTGGACCACCGTCGCTCAACTTCAACTTGATGAAGATGTAGTGATGTTGACTCATGGGTTAGAAGGCTTCAACAAGATCTTAGCCTTCTGTTCATTCCTGAAGAACCCTAAGGTACAGCTGAATAGGAAGCAGTTGTTGGTGAGAGGCCTTAAGAGTAATGAAAGGCTTATCCACTTAATTGTATGACTGTTGTGTCCCCGTGCTTCAAATCATACTCAATGCTTAGAACCCGACCTGATGACCATTTAAGGGATAATCAATGAAATTAAGATTTATTGGCCAAGCCTCATCTGCGACACCATGATGAAGGCTAAGAGGTATACACATTACCCTCTACCCTATGCTTTGTTGGTTTCCAGAATTTTTTAGTATAAGGGAGTAGATGTCTCGACCGAGGCATTCCAAAACACTCATCCTGAGAACAAGATAGGCAGTTATGCTCTTTATCAAATGGGATTCATCTTGCAAGGTAATACCTACGTCCCTCTTGATGATGTGGGGAACCCAAAAGATGAAGATGACGACCAGGAGATTGATGATGTTCAGGATAAAGCGGGACCATCTGCACCAGCATAAGTCAATCACTCTTATTCCTTAGAGAGTCTATTTAGGTAGTTGTCTGATATGTCTCTTCTTCAAGCCTCTAGGCTTGAGGAAGTTTGCTCTCTCATTAGGGGATTAGATGATAGGGTTCATGCTGTAGAGGGGCTAGTCCAACCATTAGATGTAGATGATAGTGATGAATCTTAGTCATCCCTCATGAATCTCATTTGCATTTTGTATCTCTCTTATGTTATGCTTTATTTTATTTAATAAAATAAATTCGCCCTATTTCTTATTTTATCTTATTTTATTTATGGCTTATATTAAGGGGGGAGTTCTCTAATTTAGGGGGAGAATTTTTTTATACATAACTCCTTTTAATAATGATAAAAAAAAGGAGAAATATGTTTAAAGGCTTAATTATATTTATCTTGTGTCTACTAATCTCTCTTCTTTAAGTTATGTATGAGATACAAATTAATACAGGTTACAAAAAGCTTTAAATCAAAGAATATTTGATCATCATAAAAAAGAGGGAGATTGTTAGCATAAAGCTGAAGAGTAGAAGTTTTGATGATGTCTCAAAGTCAAGTCTCAAGTTCTCTTATTGCAAGAAGATCTTCATGAAAACTTGTTTTTATATTAAAGCTTTTGTAATTTAGTAGATTGATGTATAGGGTGTGTTTTATATTTGATTCTGTGTATTGTTTGCCTTAGGTAGCGTTTAAATGCGTTTTGAATCAAAAAACCTCATTTCATACTCAAGATAATCGATTACCAACTTATAATAATTTATTATCAATAATCGATTATGACTTGCCATAATCGATTATCACGAGCAATTATGAGATTTTTCAAGCAAGTTTTTGACCATTGTGCATTCATTGATGTATAATCGATTACCATAATTGGATAATCGATTATTACACGCTAAATAGCTGACAATAGATTTTTGGAGGTATCTTTGAGTAAGATCTCTAAAAATTTGATTGGGACTCTCATTCTAACATGCAACATACGAAATAAGTGTTCTAGGGTTTGTGTAACCCTTGCGTTATGGCTTTGAGAACTTGGAGTGTTGGCATAGAGTGAGAAATTTCACTAGGAGTGTGATTGATTGTTGTTGTTGTTGAATTGAAAGCTTGTCATCCTTTATGAAGATTCAAAGGAGGTGTTCATCCTTTGTAAAGATTCAAAGGAGGTGTTCATCCTTTATAAAGATGCAAAGGAGGTAGTCATCCTTCATGAAGCATTCGAAGGAGGTGTTTATCCCTTGTGGGTTGCAAGGGAAGTGAGTTTCATCTCTTGGGGGTAACAAGAGAGATGTTTTAACCTTCAACTTGTTTATTTTCTTTGTGATTGTAACAGTTTGTTGTTTTGTGCTAGTGAAGCGTTAATTCTCGATTGAGATTAACAACTGGTCGTAGGATCTGTGTGATACAAACCAGTATAAAAATTACCTATGTAATTTTCTCTCTTCCTTACTCTTTTAATTTGTTTAAATTCATTTAAGGAATTTATATTTACGTGAGAAAATTATTAAAAGAACGAGTTGCAATATGAAACCAATTCATCCCCTCTTGGTTTGTTGAATGCGTTAACTATTTCGCTGCACCACTCTGACACAATCAAATAAAACTAAGTTTATCTCCTTTATTAATGTAGTATAGAGATCAACCTAGGTCAGTCAAGAAACATTGTCATGTGAGTTCATTGATTGAAGTCTATTTATGACTTTGATGATTCAAGGGTTATGTTGAGGTTAAAAGCAAATAGAAAATAGTAAAATGCATGTAAGCAAAATAAATTGTGGAATAAGGAAATTGAAAATGAAACAACAATAATGTGCAAAATATGGAAATAGAAGATGTTGAAATATCAACTAAATTAAGAACAATAAGCTAAAATTAGAATAAGCTAAAATTAGAAAACATAAATAATGATGGAATGTATAAGTAGTTTACAGCAATGAGCAGAATTGACTAACACAAATGTTAAGGTGAAATCTAATATGTGTAAGTTGAAATTTAATTGGTGTAAATTGTGAAGAAAAAAAAAACAGTTGGTGAAACATGATTATAACTTAAACTCAAATTAGAAAAATAAATCACAAGTAAACAATGCAAAATTAGAGCAATGCAGAATTGGAACAATGCTGGAATACATAGAAGTAGAAGTTTATGGAAATGAGAATAAAAATGTAGAAAAGATTAGAAGAACAATAAGATGAGTCTAATAACATTTGAAGAAAATTCTACAAATTTGGAAAGAAAACTTGGAGCTTCAATAGTCACCCAAAATCAGAGAAAAAATGTGGAAGCCATAGCTAGTCCATCTCTCATGTGTTGTTTTGCGTCTCTTTCTTGTGGTTGTTGTATCCTCTTCTAAAGCAATGAAGTACTAAAGTGACCTAATTTTATCTTCTTTTTTTCTGTTTTTCCCTATTCATCCCACACCACAATACAGGTATGAGATAAAGAAAAATCTATCTTAAGAAATTACAAAATTATCCTTACAAACAAGGAAAACTAAAAAAAAAAAGCTAGCAATCAATCCTTGTTAACTTCTTCGATTTTGTAAATTAAACTGCATCTTACACTAAGCTTAAATTAACATTTTTTAGTATTCAAATTAAAGCTCTTTCAATATAAAATCTAACGCAAAAAAAAAAATCAACTCAGTTTGAATCTAAAATTTAATGCAGCAAAGAATCAACTCAGTTTGAATCTAAAATCTAATGCAAAAAAAAAAATCAACTCAGTCGAATACCTGTAGAAAAAGTTATCAGCAAAATAATTAGCATCCGTCAAAACTAAAAATTGTGTATTTTTAGACTGTGTTAGACATCAATAAAGTGGCGTTAGACGCGAACAAAATAGGAAGTACCTTCTCAGCTACGTGGGAGCACCAATAACACAACCTCGGACAATAAACAAGATTCAAAAGCACACTAAAAGATAAAATAAACAAATATGCTAAGGGATGAAAGATAAAAAAGTAAAAAGTTAATATATTTAATTATAAAAGAGATCATGTATGAAAATATTAGTTTTTTTTTTAATTTATTTTACGCTTGTATTTTTCATATTTATGACTTGTATAAGTTCCATCTCAAGAAAGTAGCCAAATTTTTATATCAAAGCCCCTACAAAAGTTCATCTAATAATTTACTTTAAAAAAAATTAAGTTTAATTAATTATATTTTTTCTATTTTGAATAACTCTTTTGCTTCGTAAGTAGTGATACCAAATTAATCACTTGATTATATTATATTTATGAAGATGGTGACCATTATAAGGTGAATAATCCTAGAAGCTCAAATGTCTAGTTTATAGATATATATATCTTATAATTTTATTAGAACCTAAAAAACTCATAATTACAAATTTTACATTTAGTATTTGATCACTTTTTTTTTCTTAATTTACGGTTCTTAATTTTTTATTTCATTTTGCATTTGGTTCCTCCTATTACATTATTTATATTTTCGTATATTAAAAAATATGTTGGTTCATATGATGAAAATAAATAAAAGTTTTTTTTTAATTCACTTAAAGTACTAACATAATGATAAATATAAGTACATCTTTAGAGACTAAATAAAGAAGAACTACTAATATTTCAAGGATTAAAAATATATGTTAACTATATAATAAAAAAGTTGTTTATGTATGTTTTCATGAAAAAAAATCTATCAGAGATTATAAACAAAAGTAGTAAATTTTTCAAGAATTAAAACTATATGTTAACTTTAAAATTTAAGAAAGAAAATAGTTAATATCGTGATATGGATAAGTTTAACGAGAGTGATTAGATAAAATCCAAGTGAGTCATCCTAGTTTCAGCAATGGATTGGATAAAATCCAGTTTGGGTTTTTTTTATAACTTTGCTGTATTGTTCCTTTGTATTGTGTCTTGGAAATACAAGGGATGATACTCATTTTTATGATTTAAAATATATTAAAATTTTAATATATCAACATTAATGTATTTTTAATGCTTGAAAAAAAAACTCATCAAAAAATCTGATTTAGATAAAATCCAAGTGAGTCATCCTAGTTATTTTCTTTTGTTTTACTCTTGATCTTGACACAGTTTTAATCTCAATGTGGCTAAATGGTGAAGATGGAAACATTAAACACAGAACATAGTGCTAGCAGTTGACTCTGTCTTTGTCCCTTCTCAAATACCTTCCACCAGCCACATTGTTTTTTCTCTTGTACCTATCCCAATTTGCATAATATTTTATGCCATAAACTAATGCACAAACTCTTACAGGTTATGATGTCACTCTCAACCGTTTCAACACGCGTTTTGAAGGCTCCTCCTATCATTGAGTTAACAATTTTTTCTTATTGTCCCTGCATATTTTCTGAGTCTTCAAGATTCCTTAGTTTCAAACACTTCGTGTGCACCACAACAGCATGGGGTATGAAACCAGAACACTCTCAGATGAGTATGAAGTCTCAGATGTTCTAGGAAGAGGTGGATTTTCTGTTGTTAGAAAAGGCACAAGAAAATCAAGCAGTGACACCAAAAGCCTTGTGGCCATCAAAACTTTGAGAAGATCAGGCACTGCCTCAAACTCCAACCACCCTTCTGGGTTTCCAAGACCAAAGGGTGCAGAGAAGAGCTCAGCTGCTATGATGGGGCTCCCATGGAGACAAGTCTCAGTCTCAGATGCCTTGCTCACCAATGAGATTCTTGTGATGAGGAGAATAGTGGAAAACGTTTCACCTCACCCTAATGTGATTGACCTCTATGATGTGTATGAGGACTCAAATGGAGTGCACCTTGTGTTGGAGCTGTGTTCTGGTGGAGAACTGTTTGATAGGATTGTAGCACAAGATAGGTACTACCTCTCTAACATTCAAGCCCTTTAAAATGTTCTGAAAATCTCACTCGGTTATTACATGTAACTCACAAGTGCGTGTAATTTAGAAACATAGAAACATTGTTGAATGCAATATGTTTGAATCAATGACAGGTACTCAGAGACTGAAGCTGCAGGTGTGGTTCGCCAGATAGCTTCAGGATTAGAGGCTATTCATAGAGCTAACATTGTGCACAGGGACTTGAAGCCTGAGAATTGTCTTTTCTTGGATGTGAGGAGGGATTCTCCTCTTAAGATCATGGATTTTGGTTTGAGTTCTGTTGAAGAATTCACTGACCCAGTTGTTGGTTTGTTTGGATCCATTGATTATGTTTCACCAGAGGCTCTTTCTCAAGGGAAGATAACTACCAAGAGTGACATGTGGTCTCTTGGGGTGATTCTATACATCTTACTCTCTGGGTATGTTGACTTTTTTTTTCAAAA